CCCCCCCCCGGCGCCTGCGGTACGAGCAGAGCAGCAGGCAGCCTGCCTGCCCCGCTCCTTCCTCGTAAAACTGGGCAAAGCTCAGCTCTCTGGAGCAAACAGAGGGGCCGGAGCCAGGTGAGGGTGTGGGGAAGGGGAGCCCAGGGCAGCAAGGGCTGTTCAGCGCCTGGAGGGGGGGGTTTGGGTAGGGGCGGCTGGGATGTTTGGCAGGGGCTTGTTGGTGGGTCTGCTCAGAGTGATGTGCTGGGGATCGGGGGACGAGATGACTCGGAGCTTCACCGACAGAAGAGGACGGGTCAGTCTGTTGAGATGTGGGACGAGGAGAGATGAGAAGACTGATCCGCTCTGGTCTCTCCCCCAGGGACGGTTTTTGTGGTGCAGTGGGACAAGGTCTATCTTCAGGGGAAGGAGGACATGGGCAGCTTCACCTTCCAGGTGGCCCTGCACAGCACCGGGAGAATCGTCTTTGGGTACAAGGAGGTGAGGGATGTTTCCGCTGGGGAAGGCACGGCAGGAGGGTCCCTGCGGGGGATCCCTGTGGGTCTGGGAGGAGATCTGGTATTATAACTGTTCACGTGCCGAGTCCGGGCATTCCCAGTGCCACCAAAGCACTGGAGACTTCTGCAGCAGCACCAGGAGCCCGGGGTAGGGCTGGGGTCCATCACGCCCTCTCTCCCCGGCTGCAGATCCCCGTGCCGGTCCTACAGATCAGTGCCACCCAGCACCCCGTGAAAGCTGGCCTCTCCGATGCCTTCATGATCCTCAACCCATCTCCCGATGTGCCTGGTGAGTCGCAGCCTTGTGCTCTGGGTGGCCCCCGCGGGTCAGCGTGGCCCCCGCCCACGAACGCTGTGTGCTTTGGCGAGGCGCTGCAGGCAAAAGGGCTTCGTGCTTCTCGCCCAGTGCGTTCAGAATCGCTGTGAGCAGCCAAGCTATCGCTTCGTGATTTCCAGCTGATGAGGAGGAGGGGAAGAACGGTTGCAAACGAGACTGCAGATGGACGAGAGGCTTGGGGGGGTGCTGGGTGCCTCGTTCCTGTAGGCATGGGGGTTTAGGGGAGCCTACAAGCCACATCGCTGCTGCTCTGGACTGTCCTTGAACACGTAGCATGGCACGGGTGCTGCATGGCTGCTGCGGGCAGGGCTGGGATCGGCACCTGTGTCGGCAGGACGTGGGGACGGCTACATACATGTCCGCATGCTTATTCCATATGTGCCGTGAGCTGCAGGCATGGGGTGAGCTTGCCGAAAAGGCTCTTCCAGCCTCTCCCATCCCCTCTTGTCATGAGGAGCCCCACCTCGCTCCTGCCTCCCGGCGCTGCACCCGGCGCGGTTGCTTTTCCCTGTTATTTATGGAGCCTGCCATCTGGCCCTCATTTATTACCCGTTTACAACAGTTTGTGTAAAAACCTCGGCCAGGCTGGATGGTTCTTCCCCTCCCCGCTCCGCCAGCCTGCCCCTCGCCAGGCTGGTGCCCTCCATCCCCATGGGCTTGCTGAACCCTGCCTGTACCTCCTGCCTGCCCCGGGGGTGTGAGGGGAAGCGGGCGGAGGAGAAATGCAAGAACTGGGCACGAAAAAACCTAATGAGGTGAAGAAACAAGGCTTGAAGGGAAGGAGAGGAGGGGTTAGGAGGGGAGAGCATGTTGTCCTGCTCATCTGCTGGTCTCCAAGCGCGGAGCAGAGCAGCGAGGAGCCGTGGCTGTGCTGGAAGGACAGGTTTGATTATCCTCGCAGGGGCACAAAGCCAGAGAAGCATCTTGGCTGGTGTCACCACGTCAATTAGCGGCAGAGGCTGGGAGAAAATTTGGGAGAAGCCTGAATCCAGGATAGACCCCTCTGGCCCCTGGGATGAAGGGGAAAGAAAGGAAAGGGGGCAAGGCGTGAGGGAGATGGGGGAAGGAGGAGGCTTTGGGGGGGAAGGCAGCTGCTGAGCGGGAGCCCGGGGAGCGGTGCGGAGCTCCGGGCGAGCGCTGCGCACGGGGGAGGCTCGCAGCCCCGTGAGTCACTGACGAGCAATGTGTTGTGCAGCTTCGTGTTTGTTTAGAGCGATGCAGGACTGGACCACATCCATATCGGGAGCCTCTGGTTGGGGAGAGGGGGGCAGAGCTCCAAGCTCCTCCTAGCAAAACACAGAAGAGGCGATCTGTGCCCTAATACCACTCCTCCCCCCCCAGCACCTCCCGCATTGCTTCTCCTGCAGCCTGACAGCCGCCGTACACTGTCCTCTCCCACAGGAACAACCCCAAGACCTGGGGCCACCTTTGCCTTTCAGCTGGGAGTCAGCAGCAGCCCCACAAGCTTTCCCCGCGCACGCTGGGATTCACGCGTGGGGTAAACCCCTTTGCAGGATGGGGAAGGGCGTGCAGGGTGAGTTTGTGCCCACTCTAAAGCCAAGGCTCCGTGTTTCAGAGTCCCGCCGTCGGACCATCTACGAATATCATCGCGTGGAGCTGGACACCAGCAAGATCACCAACATGTCAGCCGTGGAGTTCACCCCGCTGCCCAGTAAGTCGGACAAGCTGGCGTGGTGCCCCGGAGCGTGTTTCCCTCCCGTGGTTTCACCCAGCAACTACAACAGCCTCCTATTTACAGCCAAAGGGGGAAGCCAAGGCCGGAGGAGGCAGGTTCAGTGTATGCTGGAAGGGGGTATGGCTGCCATCCGTCACCCGACGGCTGGGGTCCTACTGCGCGCTGGAGCCATGGAGGGGAGGGTGTGCTGTCGGCCAGGGTACAGCTCGCCCCTGCCCTGGGGTCCCCCAGTCATTCTGCCTTTGTAAGAAGGTCTGTGCGTGGCTGTCGCTGAACGTCTGCCAGGGTACGCTCGCCCCTGCCCTGGGGTCCCCCAGTCATTCTGCCTTTGTAAGAAGGTCTGTGCGTGGCTGTCGCTGAACGTCTCGTACGTACAGCCCTGTCTGGATTTATCAGCTCAGAGTCAACCTCAGCCAACAGCAAATCCCACATGCGTGCCAGCCTGGCTGCTCCATAGCTGAGACGGGAGCCTGGGATGCAGCAAAGCTCAGCTGGCATGGGAGAAGCTGATAAAGGAGGGCTCTGCAGGCAATTACACCTTACCTGATTTGCTCGGCACTCCCCAAGTGATGAGAGCGGTGGTGCCAGGCACGATGTCCCTGGGAGCGATGTGCTATGGTCCCAAGCTGCGCTCCGTGCTGCTCTGCCAGCACCTTCCTTGTGCGCAGCTGAGTCGATGGCTCTTGCTGCTCACCAGTAGATCCCCTCTCGCCCCGGTACTTTGACTCCTTATTTCCTGCACTGACAGCCCTTCCCACCTGTCCAGCAGCTGAAGCTCCTCTTTGCTCCATAAGCTGCAGCTAATCGTGCTGGACACTGGTTCACTTCAGGTCTGTCTACAAGACATTTTCTACGCCTCCACACTCGGATGAAATTTCTTAAGGATCCTGTTAAACAGATGATACATTTTTAGTGTTCGGATCCAAGGACACATGCACACAAGGGAAAGTTGTCATGCAGTCCGTAAATACAGAGCGGAGAGTAAATCTGTCACAAAGATACCAAGGTTATGCATTTGAACAGTCTCCCCAGGGTATTTTATGACAATTTTAACAGCAGGCAGGGTTACTGCAAAGCAGATCATAAATAAGCATTCTGCAATAATTTTTTTTTCTCCTTAAGACTTACTATTTTGTTTTTCCCCAGCAGCTAGGGTAGCTGAGAGCAATATCTTCAGAGGAGCCACAGAGCTAGAGAGAGCTAGACTCCACTTTTTCTTCTGGGGGTTTAATTTTTAGCCTTATTCAGGTCAGAAGTGGATGAACTGGGTTAGCCTCTGCCTCTTCTCCAGAGGTCCTTGCTTGCTCGCAAGACCTCCACGTGGCAGTCTGCTCGGGAAAAGCTCAGGACAGGAGAGTGGAGGAGATGAGGACTGGAGGACACCAGAAAAGCGTGGGCAGCCCAGGCCTGGGTAGCAGCGGTGGTGAGTTTGCTCAAGTGCGAGGGGCAGACCGGGGAGCCCATGGACGGAGAAGTGATGGAGTGTCTGGGTCAGGATGGGGGGGTGCCAGGCGTCCCCGGTGGGATGGGGATGCTGCTGCCTTTCAGGACCCTGTGCCCCGATGCAGGACGTGAACCTCTGGTGTTCTGCCTTCATCGCTTGGTATTTCACAGCACCCGATCAGCTCTCGGCTCTGTCATTGCGGGCTGTCAGGGACTCCCGAGGGACTTGTTAAAACTGCTGGTTTCCTTGACTTTTTTTTGCAGGCAAGCCCTCTTGGCCATCTTTTCTAGACAGGGTGACAAACAAATGATGGTACTCTACAAGCAGCTAGTCCTCTCCAGTGTGAGATATTCTTGCAGAACTACTTAGTATGGACATAGCAACAGAGGATTAAACTGTTTGTATTGCTTCCTTCCTTCTGAGAAAAACCTTCTGTACAATAAGAAATGGCATAAGTCTCAGATGTGTTTTAATTCCCAGCTAAACAGAATGGGAAGACATTTACAGATGGGCTGAGAGTCCACTCATGCTAGAAAGGTGCTGCCTTGTCCTGCAGGTCCATTGCAGAGAGGGGCTGGGGTAGAGACTCATCTGTTGATGCTGGTTCTACCCATGCCACCAGCTTTCAGCACACGCGCCCTCGTGCCCGTGCAGATGCTGGCGTATCGCATCTCCTCTCTCTTTTACAGCTTGTCTCCAGCATCAGAGCTGTGAAATGTGTGTGACCTCGGAGCTGACCTTCAACTGCAGCTGGTGTCACGTCCTGCAGAGGTAGCTGGGATGAGTTTCCTTCCCACCTCTTCTCTTGCTAATGCTTCTATAGCCGGGAGAGCAAGTGCAACTCCAGTCTGATGCCTGTATCGGTGTTGCTGCTCTTTTATTATTAGTTTCCTTTTTTTGTTGGGTGGGGTTTTGGTTTAGGGGTGCTGCTCTCATAGTCTCATAGCCACGGTTAAGAGGTGATCTGATCTCTGGTTACAAGCCGTTGAAGGGAGACATTTCCCGAGGCTGGGGTTCTTGGTCCTAATGTTTTGCTGCAGCAGCTGGAACAAGTTGAGACCAGAAGCAAGACTCACATTTTTGTCAGTGAGGTTAAACGTGGGGGAAACTTGTCCTGGCTTGGGCTGTGATTTCAGACAGAAGTGCAGGGCAGGAAGGCTGGGACACGCTCAAGTCTGAAGGACAGCAGGTAGGTCACAGACCCGGGGACGCTCATCAGCCCCTCAGCTGTGGGTGACAGGCCCTCTTTGTCGGGGATGAGACACAATGAGGGTAGGGGGGCACTTGCTGCTTTTTGGGGGGTAAACGGAGGATCTGGGGGGACGGGGCTGGCCCCGCTGCAGTCCCAGCCATGCAGCAGTTCTGCTCCGTGCTCTCCTTCAGCTCAAGCAGCGCGACACGGAGCATGAGCGACTTTAATGAGATTTTGCTGAAATATTTATTTAGCGCTAGTGGCAGGGGAGAGGACCCAGTAACACAGATCCTCACAGGCGGCACGGGGACAGCCGCGCTTGGGAAATGCCTGGCTCTCCCAGGAAGGCACGCGGGCTGGCCCCCTTCCCCAGCCGCCTCCTGCAAGGGCAGCCTTGGCTCTCCCTGGCATCGCTCGCAGGGCACCTTCACTCCTCCTTTCTGTAGCCCTTCTCTCACTACGCTCAAGACTTGCACCCTTTCCTTGCACGCAGCAATTTCAGCAAGGTACGAGCAGGGCAGCTGGGACAGGGAAAGATCCTGAGACATCAGCAAAGCGACCCTGTAAATCGGCGTTGATTCACTGCCTTTCAGTGGGCTGGAATACAACCTGAGCCAGGGGAACATCATTTTTCAATGACAGTTGCTCGGCGATGGCTTCTGATCAGAGAATATTATGTTCTCGCAGCTGAGAGATGCGTGAAACCAGATGTGGCTTTGATAGCAAAACCAAGCCCGGGATACAGTGGCTTAGCCTGGATCTTGTTTGGGCTGAAATCCCAGCGTTCAAGGACTTCGTCATTCTGTTTATTCCAAATTCACGGCGTTTGCAAACCCCATCTTCCAAAATCCAAGTCGCTGTTGCTGATGTTTGCTCTTATCACTTATAGTACGGTGACTTCTTGATGTCTTGGCTAAAAGCCATGCTCCCTGCAGCCCTAACTGCGTGTCGGCAGCTCGGTCCTGAAGAGCTTAGGTTACAAAAGGAAAGTACAAGTGGCAAGCATGGCGGAAACTGCAGGCTAGAGCAAGCCTACTGCTATCTTGTTGGCTTTCAACCAGGTTGGTTTTGCAAAGCCAACGTGATCTTTCCCAAGGAAGTTGGTAGGGTGGCTTCCAAGGGTTTGAACTTATATCCTGAGTCCAGCTCAGCGATTTAACCCCAGAGTCCTCTCAGCTCTCTTCTGGACAGCGGAGTTGGTGTTTTCGCTTTTGCTGAGCCCGTAATCGTTACAGGAACTGTACTTTAAGCAAAGATCTCAGTGACTCAGCGGGACCTGAAGTTTTGTGGCTTCTCCTCTCTTAGTGGTTGGTAGTTGGCTAAATTAGTGCTTGTATGAGCTGAACCCCTGATTCATCTTTTGGTAGTCCCCAGAGACTTTTCCAAAGGTCAGAGTGCTATTTCATTCCCTCTGTTTCTGTAGAGATTTCTCTAGCTGGTGTTTTCCTGATGCCGTTTGTAATTTCTTTAATGTGTTTTTCCTGTGCAGATGTTTCTGGAAAAAAAAAACCCCTCGTGGAGATCATGGCCTTGCCCTGGCACAGAGTCCAGGGAATGGAAATTCATACTCAGTCTATATATTTTTTCCTATTTCTCTGCTTCTCCGTTTCCCTTGGAGAAGCGGCGTTGACCCTTTTCCTCCTCTGTGAAGAGGAACATTTGGGTCCTTCCAGCACAGCTGTACTGGAAACCCCATGTCTTTGGAGACCAACTTGTACATAATCTTCCCAGTCCTCAGATACTTGTTTGTCCAAGTGTCTGTACACGGCGCCCATCGGGGCAGCATTTGGGACTCTTAGGCAGCTTAGAAATCATTAGCGATGCCACTCGCGTAGAGCGGGCAAATGAGCATTATTGTTGCTGTGTCTCTCTGCCACGGGCTAATACTGCTTTTCTCCGCAGGTGTTCCAGCGGCTTTGACCGATACCGTGAGGAGTGGCTATCCTACGGCTGCGGCCAGAAGGTGAGACCGAGAGGGGGGGTCACTTCTCTTAGGTCCTCTGCTAGGAATGACGCTGAACTACAGAAAAAAACAATGGCCATATCCCAGCTCAAAATATTCACTCTCAGCTCCACTTGGCCCATGCTGTTCTGGAACAGACTGAATATCCCTTTAGATATCCCTTTTCCATTACGGCAGGACCGCTGATCCACTTAATAGAGGGTGTCTCTATTGGAATAGTTAAAAGATGGTCCATCTAATCCAGCGTTACCTGTCTTTGCCTTGCTGGTGTCTTGTTTCTGTGCTGGTCGGTGCTGGATGTTCAGTAAAGATGCGGAGACCTCCATAAATTACCAAGTGGTGCCATTTGAGTACACTGGGATATTTTTTTTTCTTGACTTTCTGAAGCATGACACTCACTCTCAAGCATGAAGAAATTAGCCCTTGTGATTTTTTTTTGTCCTTGTTAGCACAATTATCTCCACATTGGATGAACTAGTTTCTTTGTCTCAGAAAGATCAGCTCTAATGAAACATCTGTTTCTGCTTTGGGTTTTTTTGTTGGGTTTTTTTTTCCCCCCGCTGAAAACTCAGCTTTGTTCCCTGTTAACCAAGAGGGTTGAGCGAGGGAAAAGGAGGTCACAGGACCTATGTAAGGTCATTCAGTGATGCAAGGAGGTCAGACTGTAGGACCTTGCCAGATCATTGTCATTTGTCCTGCATAAGTGGTTCCCAAACTTTTCCTCCTCTTCTCCAACCTCCATGTCACACACACACACCCCCCATACTTCTCCTGGCACTTCTGGACCATGTCCCCTGCTTCCACTCCAGTGTTTGAACCCCAAGGGCTCGGCAGCCCGAAGCCTGGGAAGCACAGTCCTCACCACTGGCTCCCTGGCACTCTTGCTGGAAGAGAGCTAGGAAAAGTAGCTGTTCTTCATTTTCTTTCCAGTCAGATGAGAAGACCTGCGAGGATTTGGAAGGCGACCACTATTCAGCACCTCCTGACAGCTCTTTCTCACCGCTGAATGAGGATGCCACCACCTCCGCGTCCTCGCTCTTCATTGACGGTCTCACTACAGAAGGTAGGGGCAGGTGGGGTGAGCAGCTGTGGCAGGGACACCCCGTCCTTGATGCTTATCCCTGGAGAGGTCTTTCACTCCGATGCCTCATAAAGCCCATTCATATCCAAGTAAATAAAATATCAAACCCGTCTTTGAAGCACAAGGGCAGGGGTGAGTACAGGAGGCAGTGGAAAGGAGAAGGAAGGGCAGCCTAAGGGGTGAGACTCGGAGTGGTGTGGTAAGGGGAGAGATGAAACCCTCCGGTGGGAAGAGTTTTACAGTTGCATCGCAGCCTTTTTACGAGTTTGTGAAGGTCAACAAGCAACTAGTCCCTGGTGGACAGACTCCCCAGCTTCATAACAGCGGTTAATACTGTGTATAGGGGCTCATGCTTTTAATGTGCTTGGTCCTAGCTGGTGGCTCAGGGCTGCCAGTGCTCTCAGACTGGCAATAATACAGCGTAGGCTTGTGATTGCCCTCTGCTCGGGAATGGGGTTCGTTCCAGCATAGGAAAGCTCCACATAAGGACCTGAGTTTCCCTCGAGACACCCTCGTTCTAAAGCTTGATAATCCTATTAACATGGGGCTGGCTCCTCAGATCCTAGCGGCAGGTATCACTTCAATTTTGCTGCTTAATAGTCCCTAACGCAAACTGCTAATTAGAATAAATAGAAAGGAACATTAGTAATTGTCCTTCAGCAACGGGAAGGAGTTGGGGGGGAGGAACGGAGCGCCTGGCTGACAGAGTTGACTTTGAAAGGAGCAATTAAAGGAAGGGGGAGTGTAGCACCACCACTGAGATTATTTTCCAACTCATCGCCAGTTCTTGGGAAAAGAACAAGAGGCTTTCTGTGACATAGTCAAGCATGAAGTTAATTTGTAATCTTGGAAGGAAACAAACAGCCAGCTGCATCAAGCAGCGAACTTTATCTGGAGAAGCACAGCAAAGGAACGAGCAAAAGAAAGGAGTGGACCCACCCCTCCGCATCCTCCCCAGCCAGCCCAGCTCGCTGGCTCTGCTCCTGGAGATGTTTGTGAACGTGTCTGACTCTCTGGTCGCATGTCAGCGCTGCAGCTAGCAAACGTGTAAGCCAAGGATCAGGATTTCAGCTGGACTCGCGAGGGTGGTGATGTGGAGACCATCAAGACGTAAAGCCTGGTACAATATAGCCTGGTTCTTCCAGAATGAGGTGAAGAATGGAATTGGATTTGGGGCCCCCATGGAAGATATCTACAGCGTAACATCCCATTGATTTACTTGGGATGTATTAGCAGCGTATTGCTGCACGTGCCGTAGTCCGAACACAGACACCCACAGGGGCTGGGGCCCCATCCAGCATTCACTTATTGTTCTGCTTTGCACACTGAGCATATTTAAAGACTGGTTTCCTCAGATGTTTGTGCTCCAGGTGCCACCTTTGTGAAGGAAGACGACAAACCGTAACCCACATGCTTTCACTACTGTTGTTTCCCGGGTGCCTTCCTCTTCCACCAAACTCAGAGGTTTAAAACTGTCACTGGCCACGGAAATGCTGTGCAAGGGGTGTGTTCTGTCAGCGGCCCTGTCACAGAGGGATGAAAGCGGGTGGGAAGCATGCAGAATACCGTAGAAGGCTCCTAACTTTGTTTTTTTTTTTGCCTTTGTTTTCTTCTTGTAGATGATACGAAGCTCAATCAGTACGCAGGAAGTGAAGGTAAGCCCTTCATCTTCTCTCTGCCTGCTCACGGTCGTTCCAAGTGAAAACATGTTACGCTGAAATCAAATGCACCGGGGAGCTGTGATCAGTCAGCGGGGTGGACAGGTGAAACTGAGATTGGAGGGGTGTAATCAAGATAAGACTCCTATTGTCCTTACCCTGACTAATACCATTTCAGGTAGTGAAAAGTGAGAGTCGGGACCAAACTGTTTTACCCTGATGCTGTTTGTCTACTTTTCCCACTTAGTCCTGCTGTGCAAACTAAGACGATGAGTTTTCTCTTCCCATGTAATTCCCTTTCTTTGCAGTTTTTGCATAGATATAAAGTCCTTCTTTCTCTTGAATTTCCCCAGCTGTGCCAAACAGCAGTGGGAAATCCAAATTTGAAAAGTGTCTTTAGCTCAGCTCTGCCTTTGTCATCTCTGTTCCCGTGAAGCCTTTCTCAGTCTGAGTTTGTTCGGCAGCCCCAAGGGCAGGGAACCGAACTGTGGCTGCTCTTACTAACTTCAGAGTATGGGAAGGATCCGAGCCCTCTTCACCTGATGTCAGGTTTGCTAGAACTGCGGTCTTATGCAAACTACAAGCCCATCCCTCTTGCCTGAAAGCAGCTCAGGGAAGTTAAGCTGGCTAAACTGGGTGCAGGACCAGTTCCTTTGCAGGCATGGGGCCTTTGAAATGCATGATCTTCCCAGTTTCAGCCAAATCGCTCCCCAAATGGCTGGTAATGTCACTGTTAATATGTGCCACATACACCCTCCGTAGTTCCGTGCAATTGCATATTCATAGCCGAGGACGGAGGGCAAGCTGCAGGGCTGCGAGTAAGACACACTGAGGACCCCACTCAGCATATGGCTAACGGCTTTCTATCAGAGCGAGCAGCCAATATATAAAGAATATGGATTGGAGGGGGGGTTTACTTGCATGGTGGTGGTTTAATCTTCTTTCAAAGCAGCTACTGCTATCATCCAAAAGGAATGCTGGAGCTCAGACAACTCTCTGGTGCATCTTTCCCTCTTGTTGAGCCTGACAGTAGCAGGCTAAGTTGCTCAGTCGTACGTGCAGAGCTCTGGAAGGTCCTGCCTTCCTTTGCTTTTCTGTCCTTTCTTTTACCGAGGTCTCAGCACAGTTCAAGACTCAACTGAATCCTTTTTTGCAGGTGTGGGAAGCAGCCTTCCTTCCAAGAAAGCAGGCGCCCCGATTCACACAGGTACTATCGTGGGGATCGTTCTGGCTGTGTTGCTCATTGCAGCTATTATCCTTGCTGGAATTTACATCAACAGCCACCCCACCTCCAACGCTGCCCTGTTCTTCATTGAGGTGAGTGGAGAACCTTATCCCTGGCCGGTTTTCTCTTCCTCTGCTATCAACACAAATCCTAACCTTCTAGAGGAGAGCAGGGAGCAAAGAGAAGAGGAGAGAGGAACTTTGATAGAGTTCCTATCTGAGTTTCTTTTCATGGCCCTACAGTCACAGCTGATCTCCCAACCTCCAGTTGACGATGTTTTAAACTTAGGCTCTCTCCCTCCCACACTGTTTTATTTTGCTCCCTTTCACACATTGCCTTTTTTTCCCCATGCAACGTTAGGCTCTTCCACCTGCTTGCATGAGCAGTCGACACGCAGCCTGGTTGGAGGGCTCAGTTGGAGCTATGACATAATTGAGATCGCTGCCTTTTGAAGTGCCCAGCTGGATTTTGTTGACTAAAAATTGTCAGACTTTACTGATAGATGTCATGCCATCAGCTACTGTGTAAGCGGTGGTGTGAATGCTCTAAAAGGAAGATTTTAATTCTTGGAAAGATAGGGGGTCCAACAATCTCCATCTGCTGTTAAAAGCCAGAAGACCGCTTGGTGTAGGATCCCGAGGCAGTCAGAAGTGGGCTGAATCCTGGCATAGGAGCTGCTGCGGAGGGAGTGAGCAACATTTAGCCCTCAGCCTTTCCTTATCACTCGCTGGCTTTTTCCTAGCACGCTCTTCTTTCCTCCATCTGTCCTGTTTGCAGAGACAAGCTTCAGAGAATTGATCTACATGGCCTCTACCAGTTTAGTACCTGAGCACTTGGCAATGTTTGACTCGTTTAGCTACACCCGGCTGAGAAGGGGCAATGCGGTTGTCCCTGTTTTGCAGATAGAGAGGAGACACAGGGCTGACGTGCATGTGGTCGCACGGGAAGCCCGTGGCCGTCCTCGGCTGCACAGGCCCCCCTTGTTCTAAGGCTGATGTGAGATTTCACTTAAAATTTCCATTTCCTCCCCGCTCCCCATTTTAACCTTGTTAGCGGGTCAGCTCAGTGAGATCGATGCATTGTAATGAATTCTTTTAAGCATGAAACGATTTTTTAAAATTTATTTTTATTAATAAAAAGTCAAACTTTCACAAAGACAGCATTGTTTTTGTTTCAGGACCGAGTTTCCGTTTTCCCTGCAGGCTTGGCGTGAAAGGCTCTGTCATAGCTTCTGATGGGTCTTTGTTTCTGTCCACAGCGAAGGCCACATCACTGGCCTGCCATGAAATTCCGAAATCACACCAACCATGCAACGTACTCGGAGGTGGAGCCGGCCAGCCAGGAGAAGGAGGGCTTTGTCGAAGCAGAACAGTGCTGAGCGCTTCCTCCCCCTGCATCTCGAACCTCCCATGTCTCAAGTGTTGGAGTCTTCTGTTATTCTATTGCAAAGTCTTTCCCCTCTTGGAAAAGAAACAGCAAGTAGAGGAAAAAGACCCAATGGAGCATTTGAAAAGAATGAGTCAGGGCGATGTGAGGCTGGGACTTGCCTGGATTTCCTCACGGGACAGCAGGGCCTGCAGCGTCAGCAGTCAGTTGCGACATTGGACTCCGCCTGCAGCCCGGCACCGAAGCCCTGGATGTGGCGGTAGAAAAAAAGTGCAGTCAAAGTTTTCGCTTGGCGTGGGTTTTTTGTTTCGTGGTTGGGTTTTTCCCCCCCTGCGTGTGGCTGACCTCTTCCCTCCTCCACCAGGAGGCTTAACAGGGGCAGCAAAGGGGGGGCAAATCTTGGTACAGGCGAAATACGTAGTTGCCTCAAGCAGCAGGCTCTTGGGGACAGCAAAACAGTTGATTTTTTGCTGCACGCTGGCTCTGCCTGCTCTCAGGAAAGTCGGGCTGGTTGCCTCTTCCCCTCTCCAGGGAGAGGCTGGGTGGTTGGTGGTAGGTGCTGTTGGTGGCCCAGGAGAGGTAAGGTTGGCTCTCCAGGGCTCACCTCCCCTCTTCCCCAGCTCTGTCCCTTTCTCCACTCTCCCCTTCGCCTTCTTTTGGGGCGGGCAACATTTAATTTTGCCTTCGTGGCCGAGAAGCCTTGTCCCCTTGTCTCTTCATCCTGCAGTCTTCCACCACCATGGCTTCAACTCCCTGCCCTCCCCTCCCTTCAAAGCAACAGCTTCCACCCCCTGCTCCAGAGAAAGGGAAACCTGATCTATTTTAAGGGCAGAACCCTGTGGAGGATTCAGCTTCAGGATGTTTGTGAGCCAATGGCTCTGATGCACTTTTTGGCATCTAATTAGTTTGCTAAATTACTAACTATGACCCTTACCCCAAAGGAGATGGAGCGTGAAAAAAAAATCTTAGGTTCCTTCAGAATACATCCTTGTGGCGCGGCCACTAATCCAGCGGGAACAGAGTAGGTTCTGATGGAAGAGGATGGGGACAGAGCACTAGCAACAGCAGCGTCCTCCCACGGGCTGAATCCTGACATAAATCCAAGCTCACTCATGGGCATTTCACATAAATAAGGAGTGAAGGCGTACATGCCTTGATACCATTGAAAATCTAAAAATCACCTTGTTAACAGCATAGTTTTTAGAGCCTACTCAAGTCAGTGGAATTTTTTTCTGGTTTTTTATTTTATTATGTCTGTGATAGGCCCCTGGTCTGGATTTGTGCATCTATCGTGATTCCAGAATCTGACCCCAGCTAAGGGCTTCGACACTAGACCTCTCAGGGTTTTCTACTCCTTCTGTGCAATCAGAATTCAAGACTAATCTGCAGAAATACTCTACCTTACTTCCACAGACACCAGCTGCAGGATTGGGCCCTAAACTGAGGAAGGCTTGTATAAAAAAAGAGAGAGTCCAAAGTCCAGTGCAAGGTAAAGTTTCTTTCCCCCACCAAAAAATGTGGTGGGTGTGTGGGGCTTTTTTTCGTTCTTTTTTTTTTTTTCCATTTTCTCTTGATCCTCAGTTATTTATTCTGATAATCATGTTTGGTGCATATTTTATCCACTGGCTGGGGGGGGTGGCCCCGGGGGGGGGGGGGGTGGCAGGGAGCCCCTTTCCCACGGCTGCCGTCCTCCAGCACGCGGCCACGGCACCCTCCCCCAATCATGTTTGGTGCATATTTTATCCACTGGCTGGTTCAGCTGTCACTGGTGGTTGATTACTGCAAAGGCAGGGTCTGTCTAATTAATGTTTTCCTTCTCATCTGCTGAATTTATATAGTCATTAAAGATAAATATGGATGCTTTGTGGCATTTAGACCCCAGATTATACTTTCTCATACATAGCCACTAGGGAGACTTTTGCTGCATCTTATTATGGCATAAAGGCACCAAAATGCTCAAACAGGGTAAGTCAGACTGAGTCGTGCCAAGTTGTTACGGCTCAGACAGTCTCTCTTTAGACATATTTTGAAGATAAACTTTATGCCCAAATAAAGCTTTCAACTGGAAGGTTGTTTTTTCCCCTGTTTCCCTGAAGTAGAAAGAATTCAAAGGGATGCTGTCATCTAGTTTTTGCCCAGGATCTGATCTCCTTTGAAATGGTTATGAGCTGGTAAGGAATTTTCTCTGGATTTAACTCTTTTCAAATAATGGCCTTGTTTTTACTGTTTTTCTTAATAACAGCAAGATTTGGGGTACTCCTCTTCCCCTACAACCCCTAGAAATGCTAGGTAACATCCAAGACTTCTAAAATGCTGCAAATTTAAAAGAAAACAGACTTCAAATAGAGTGCAATTGAGCTGTATAAATCACTGGTGCATTACTGCAGCCAGGATCTTAGAAGGATTCAGAAGAGGATCAGATACTCGGGTGGAGAATAACAACATCCAAGTGCCATAGCACAGAAACAGTTGGGATATGTAAAACACCTATACTTCAGGGCAGATGCCAAGTTCTGAGTGTCTGGAGTCAAAAAGGCTTTGGGGTTTGGGGTTTTTTTTCCCCTTTAAGGAAAGAGGAAAAACAGACCAGGCTATTCTGTATTCTGTAGCTGTGCAACACATGTTTGGTCTACCTTCTACTGAGGAATAGGGTTTGGGGTATCGTCAGGTAGAGCGTTAACAGCTCCAATTCATCATCTCTAAGACCTTGTGGTAGAGTAGATGGAGAAGTTACTGCCCATAGTCATGTGTGTGCTCTGAGCTGAAGGTTTGGATTCAACCAGCATCTCCCACTGCCTCGCCTGGAGAAGCAAGGCACTTACATGCTGTGTCTCGAGGAGGAGAAAAAAAATACTCTGTCCTACCTTTTGACATGAGGTCTAGCTCTGGGCACTTGAAGCTCACATCTGGGAAGCTCGCGAGTCAGCAGGGAGCAATCTTTTCTGAATATTTTTTGCACGTGGCTTTATAGTGGAAGAGGTGGTCTATTGAATTCTGAAAAACCCAACGGTAATGTTGCTGATGCCTAGGAGAAAGAGAAAAATGCCTTTACCACCACCAAGTACCGCTCTAATGTTGAAGAGAATAGGAGAGTCTGGTGCAAGTATAATGCTGGCTGCACCAAACGCATCAGGATCAATACTCCTTTCCTACCTGTGTAACTCTGACTTCAAGATGCCGGTTAATCTTGCTAGTCTTGAGTGCCAAAGCAAGAACACGACGATGGCGACTATGACATCAAAAGGTTTTGATTTTGCTTTTAATCACGTGGCTTTTCTAGCCACATCATGAGTTTTCCTCTGGATTCTGATGAACCCAGCGTTTGGGCTTGCTTCAAAGCAGACTGCATAATGTACATGTGTATATTGACCTGTATATTTTATAGCTATAAAACGGGCTGGGGCTGTTAGCTGTGCTCAGTCCATCGCTCAGCCGGTTAAAAGAGGGTGCAAAAACACAAAGAACTGCTGCTGCTCCTCATCTGTCTTTCCAAGCACCGTGCCCTGGCAGTTTGTGGCAACTGCTGAGCGTGTCGTTCGGGAGTAAGGCAGCTGCCTGTCATCAGGCAGAAAATCACATCACGTATCTGCTCCTTGGCCACTCATCTGCGTTCAGCAGTTGGGAAAACACAGCACAGGGTTTCTCAGAGACCAGCGCGAGGTTGGTTCTGCTCCTATGAAAGTTGGGGGCTAACCCCCCCATTTTTGACATCAAGAACCCAGATCAAAAAATATTCTCTTAGTAACTAAAGGCCTACTTTCCGCATACTTGAATTTACAGCACAGTTGGACTATTTTGAGGGACTAAAGGCACTTTAACTGTCTTTTAATGCAATGTATTTACTATGGATTATCTGCATGGAATACAGTCTTAATATTAAAAAAAAACCCCCATCTTCCTTTTGGACTGCTTTGTTTTCAAAATAAAACATGCAAAGGATTATTGGTCATGTTATGTGAACTTCTAAGCAGGATGGGAATTATTTTCATCTTGTATTCTTTCAATTTACGCTATAAGAATACAAGGATTTTTTTAAGATGTCCTTTTCTGTCTTAGTAATAACACGTCATTATCAGGAGGCGTTCCCAGGACACGCCTAGGATAAAAACTAATGTAATTGAGGTTTGAATCAAGACTATAATTTTCTTCTAATTTTATTCTGCTCAGCTTATTTAGATTTTTTTTTTTTGCAGGCTTCTCAGCTTGACCAATGAGGTTTGCTTGGCCCATTTGACTTTTTGACAGTAGTCAGGTTTAGTGTTTTGATCTCTGCACTAGCACCACATTACTTCAAAAACGTAAATCACATTAAAGGTCATTATCTGAGACCTCAGGGAAGCACCTCCACGTTTAGGCTTCCTTCGCTATTGTACGTTAAAAGTATGAACAAATCGGCAGGATGCAGTAACTGAAAGGAGATGATGAACTGTAGGAAAAGGCCCACCTTGCAATTAACTATGGATATCAATAGATTAATTCCCGTGGGAGCTTTGATAGCACTGCTTCCATGTGTGTTACACCTTGGGTAGCCGGTAAGGGCATAGCCAGAACAAGGACTTGCCCGTAACCCTTTCCACGCACTTACCTTGCAAACTGCTGTGCCACGTAGAAACATCCAAGCCAGCACAGGCATTGGAGCAATTCAGTCCTGCTTCACATCGCCTACGAGAGGTTAAGTATGAGCCTCGTTAGAGACATACCGAGGTAGAAGGGCGTTTGCAGAGGCCGGACGGAGCTGTAGTTAAGGCACTGGGTTGTGGTTCAGGAGATGCAAGTCTACGACAGTAAAAGCAGCTCCTGGTATCTCAGCCGCTCGTCTGTAATATGTGAACAATAACACCGTGTTTTGCCTGTGGCTATTTAAATTGTAAACTCCCCAGCCTGGGGCTGTTTCATAGCATGTATGTGTACTGTTCTTGGCCTTGATTCTGCTCGAGGAGCTAAATGCGTAATTTTCTAAGCAAAACTTTGTCCCTGCTGCCCTTCTGAAGTGAATGTCACCATTTTTTGTACCTCCTGTCAGTGGCTCTGACCATGTTGCAATATTGGAAAAAGAAGTAATGTATCAGCTTCTTCTCATTTTCCCTTTCACCTTCTCAAGCCCCTCACACCCTGTTCATCCCCGTCTTCCCCAGGAGTCTCTTCCAGGTTGGGAGAAACTGTGCTAACACAATACAAGCAGCTATAAATTAATTTAGACACGATAAAAGAATTCTACTCTCCCAATGCCTTGTTCTATTTTTCTGAGCAGAGATGTAGCAGATATATAATTAGAATATATATATATTCTCTCTATTTTTGTACACACACACACAAGCAAATACTTTATAATGTGCAAATATGCAAAGTGTCAGCTCTCCTGAACAAATAGTTTTCATACTAAACAACATCCCAGAAGCAGGGGGGAAAAATACTTTAGCCATTGTGCAAATAAACAAGGGTTTATACCCTGGAAATGCAACTGCAACCTCAGGTACAACAGCATGCTGAACCATAATTAATAGCACTGAAAGCAAGCAGGGAGCAGATTGCTACAAAAGGGCCTGTGGGTGGTGGAATAAAATCTCAAATAGATGCACAGCTCTGAATCCGCATTTTACAAGTGCTGTGGAATTAAGCTTTGGTTACGACTGGGAGCAGGGAATTAGGGCTCCTCAAGTTCTCGCCTGGTTGTATATTAAATGTCTTTATGCCTTGGTTTGCCTCACCTAGAAAGGAAGGACAGGAATAATTTCCTTTCTCACAAACAAATTGTAAATTTGCTACCATTTGTAAGATACTTACGGATGCTCAGGGGAAAGGTGTTCTCAAGGCGGGGTGGAATTACTTGCTAAGGTGACTGCAAGCGTCATACACATGCCCATCTCAGAAGCTGGTTTTTTATCTCTTAGGCTCACTAAAAGAATTTAGAAATCTTCTTGAGTCAGCTTTAGAGATGAGGAACGGGTGCTGCTGTAGTCAACCTGTCTGACCAGAATACGTAAAGCTCACGCTCGCCACGGCTGGGGAGCGGGGCAGCAGCGCTCGCCCAAAGTGGGGCTCATAGAAATCCTGGAACAGGTTTGGGGGAAGCCGTGAAGCTGATTAACACGCTGGGTTTTTTATTATCTTCGTGAGGCAATTTTATTAGTTTGCATAAAATACATTTCTGGCCCATGGATGTGAAAAACAGATTTTTTTTTGTTGTTGCGTTCAGCAAAGGGAAATGTATTTTCACACACACAAACACACCGTTCCCTAGCTGTGACATACCAGCTATTTGCCTTAGCGGCCGCTCATCCACCTCTCCCGGGAGGCTGCATCTGCCTCCCTGTCACCAGGGCTCCACGAAGAGCTAACCGCTGCCTTAAACATCTGCACAATCTGCGGACGAACCTGCTGGGGTGCTTGCCAGGACAAAATTCAGCTGGCGCCTGCAGCAAGGGCTATTGGCAATTCAGGCAGGTAGTTCCACAGAAAACTTACAGCGCAACTCTTTTCTCTTCATCCCTTAATCAGACCGAACTATAAAATTGGCTAATCCAATTGCAGCGACGATGCCACTGCTGCCACCCCCCCGTAGGCAGCTGCCTGCCTCCCCAACCCCTGCAGAGGTACTTTCCACCCTGCACGCTGGCACGCTTCTGCCAGCCGGGTTCCAAACGGC